GGCGGTTTATTCGTCCAATCGGTGGCCGTCTGCCTCTATATCCACAAGGGGCGGCCCCTGAAACTCAGTGTAATCGGAGTCAGTGGCGAATGCAGAGGTGACAGGTGTCGTTGGGCGAGAGTCCCGATCGGCGCGGGCGGTGGCGGAATCTAGATCGGCGGCGGCAGAGTCGGGATCGGCGGCGGCGGAATCTTGATCAGCGACTGCAACAGCAATGCGTCGCCTCTTGGCAGCAGCTTCTCGTAGTACAGCTGGATCGTTGGCCGCTCGTTTGAGCCGTGCCATAAAAATTACCAATAAATTGGTCACACGTGTGCACGTGCGTGGTATTACACACTAGCAATTATTAGACAGTAATAAATTGGTAGTGTGTAAGGAACCAAAATTTTCTTGAAATTTCCAGGGGGCTTGTCCGTTAACTTATAAGTGTCGGAATTTGCCCTGGGAGCGGGCGGGTGATCTGAAACGTGAACAGGTGGCGCGGGCCACTGAGGCTCTGTGCGCAAAGGGGGAAGCACAGGCCGGGGCGGAGCGGGGTGCGGGAGGGGGACAAGGACTCCTGAAGCGTTCGTTGGGTTCGGTTTGTTTGTGTGTGAGTTTGTGTGTGTGTGTGGACGAAGACGTTCACCGTCTTCGTCCTCGACCTTTATACTCCCACTCAACGCCAAGTCGAGTGGACTAAAATGTACTCACCCCCCTTTTTAGTGGGGTGCTACCTACAAATGCGGCTCTATCAGGCTTAATTAGGCGTTTGCCCGTTTATGTAATGAGGATCCTTTAGGAGGATCCTCAAGTTGAAGGTAGTTGATTTGTCTATGTGAGGTAGTGCCACCCACTAGGGACAGGTGGCACAACCTTAAGGATTACGATTGTGATAGACACTGATAAAAGTTGTGACACAAAGAGCCAAATAACTACTGAGAAGACAACCATTTTTGACGTATCACAAATTAATAAATAAATTACACACTAACTGTAAATATGGTCGACCTTTTCGACAAGAAACCCGCGAATCCCCAATACGTGGTCAATTCCTGGACTTCGATTGAATGTGAAAGCGCGGCATCTCAACCTGTAACGCCCAGTTCATTTGATAAAAGACCGGGCCACATCGTAATGACAGAGGTCAACGCCTTTCAAAAATTCAGGACTGGTTTCTTCCCGCCCTCATCCCGCGCCCTTCCGCTCCGCCTTCTACACCTACAGTTTCAAGCCCCACTTCCCCACCTTTCCACTCCAATCCCACACACGCCACCTTATACCTACACAACTCCACGCCCACTTCCACTCCTTCCCATCCTATCTCCCTGTCCCCAATCGTGTCTCTCCCACTCCGCACTAGTTTCTCTCCATCTGCTCTGCCACTTTTACCCCTCTTGCCCCACCCCTGCTTCCTCCACCGCGTGCACCTCTCGCCTGCCCTTTCTTATCATTATCGCACACCGCACTATGGCCTGCTTTTCATCTCACGATGCAGCACAAGCCCTGCAACTCCTCTCCAATGCGTCAATTGATCTCCGTAATGGGAGACAGCCAAGCGAAAGCATATAGGGACAGCAGAAAGATACTGTACTATCGTAAAAGTATCATTTTTGCTCTCGATTTTTATGCATTGCTGTAGAAGGCGTTGAGTCGGCTGTTGGAGTCCATTACAGCATATTTTAGCTCACCTTCAAAAGGACCGAGTCGTCCTGCAATTTTCACTGTTCTGCGCAAACCCCCTTCATTTGCGTTGGAGACCTAGTGTCTAGGTGACAATGACCTCATATGGGGCCAGTTTTTAGGCGGGCGTTTGCAATTCAAATAATTGCAGAATTTTACGGCGACTGTAGTAGACCTTTTTAACAGTTGTCCATTGACAGGGCACATACAGTAGACCTTTAGCGCAACTATCGGTAGTTCAGTCAGTGATGACCTCTATTGGCAATTAGCGTTGGTGTAATGCCGACAGCGGCTGCTGATGGACAAATAGCCTGCTTCTATGCCCCAGCTTTATCTTTGTGTCAAATATATGGGACTTGGGCAAAACTTCTATTTATTTTTAATCTGCATCGCCATTGGACACATACAAGCACGTAAGCGACAACGGTCATGTCTCTCCAGAAAGATTAGGTAATTACGTAAAGGCATGGTCTACAGAACGTACAGTATTCCAGCCAGATTCGGACCAAAACACCGAAACGCCTTTGCGCCTTTGTGCCTTTGCGCGCGATTGTCCGCTGAGCCACCATTTACACGTGCCGACTCAACACAACGACGGGCCTCAAGAACACAATATCATTACGCATCTGTCCCCCTACCATCACCATATCTCGCAAACCAGCCCCCCTCTCCTTCATAGTCTTGGGACAAAATGGAAAATTCGAAGGAGGCTAAGGTACTCCAATTGTTGGTAGAGCAGAGTGCAGAGCGGCAAGAGGACTTAGCGAGGTATGTGTCCGACCCTGATGCCACTGAAACTGACACTGATGACGAGCATAACTCGGACACGCCCGTTCTGGACAAATTTTTGCGATCCGGCGCCGTGGGTGCTGTTGTGGAGATGACAAATTATTCACTCAACGAGTTCAATGCTCTGTGGAACGTTGTCAGGGAGAGGGTGGAATCAGGTTGAAATACAGGTCGCGGACGCAAATGTCAACACTATCCCAAAGACGTTCTTTTCATGTTACTTTCTACTCGCAGACACGCAGGAAATTGGGACTTTAATGGCAAGATGTTTGGTGTTAAGGGACCAACGTTCGAGCGTATGATAATAGGATTCGTTGACAAGATCGTTCATGTACTGTACAAGACAGTGGTACTGCAGTGGGAGGAGCGATATACGATGGAGCGCCTCGTAAAAGAGAAGAGCACCTTCAAGCACTACAAGTTTTCACTGTATGCAACTGACGTCACTTTTCAAAACGCGAACCGCCCAAGTGGAAACCACGAAGAGGCCAAGGGTCATTTTAACAATAAACATAAGCTGTACGGCTATAAATCAGAAGTATCTGTATTGCCTAACGGTATTTCTATTGGCTGCACTGCTCATCAACCGGGGTCTGTATCAGATTTGGTTATATTCATGAAGAATCTAGAGTGGCATCAGGCTGCTCTGTCCAAGACAGATCGTAAAAAACGCACGTACCCGGATGTGGGTCCAATGGCAGAGGAATATGATGGACAGTGGGCGTTATTGACTGATAAAGACTATCACGTCTGTATTTCTGATTTTCTAAAAATTCCTATGCGGAGACCATGCAAGCCCATGCTCACAATTGGAGCGGTTATCATAACTTTTCCATGGGGATTTGCTTAGGCCTGGTCCTATGCAATACCAAACAAGTTCCATAGAACCGTCCATGCACCAGTCTATGTCTGCATGGGGCAATGGTGGCCAAACCAATTCAGATATGTTCAATGCGAGCTCATGCAGGCATTGGTGTGCATGGGTGTTCATGGGCTCCGCATGGCGGATTCAATCCAAGTTTTAGTTTTGCCAAACATGTTCCATAGAACCGTCCATGCAACAGTCTATGTCTGCATGGGGTAATGATGGCCAAACCAATTCAGATATGTTCAATGCGAGCTCATGCAGGCATTGGTGTGCATGGGTGTTCATGGGCTACGTTCACACAAATGTGGAGTTTACATAAACTGGAAGCAACCATGTGGCTCAAGGGTCAGGACACTCCATTTAGAGTCTTATCTATATTCGCTGTCCGCGTTGCGGGGATAGAGGAACACCATTCATTTTGAACGCTCTTTTCGTCAGCCCTTGGTTCGCGTTAAAGCTGGTGCACACTTGTGCTTATCGAGTATGATTTGGTGATGCGCGATTATCTGAACAAGACAGAATGAGTGAGGCTACTTTGATTTCGACTCTGTTGCATATGTGGTATTGCTTGAGAACAGGCCAGCTCGTGATAGCAGGCAGAAGTCGAAGCAGTCTTTCTCATGTAACATGTCCATATACAAACGACTAGAAGAGGGATGACCATGGACAGAATGAAAAGCAATCAATGATTTCTTAATGTGATGAGTTGCCGGAATAATCAAGAATAGTTCCAAGAAGAATAGAAAACTTGAATGTGTCATAAAATGATGAAGCTGATGGGAGCTATCTCAAACTAGCAAGATCTGACAAATAGCCGGAGATCTTGCAAAACGTCGTCGGTTTATGAGAAGTTTTCGAAACAAGACATCTGGTGTTTTCGTGCAACAGCGAGAATACAACAAGTCACACTCACCAAAACTCTTTGATATAGTTCATCAATAACAAAAATCCTCGCGCCTTTGAAGCACCATCACAACCCTATTTTTTCCACGGCGTTGAAAATATTTTGGTCTTAGAGGCTGGTGGTGGAACATCTGAGACGCAAAGTTCTGTTTGGCCTCCCCTGCAGCCCCTTTGCATCCAACCACTGAAAAAGCACGGCATGATATGAGGATGTTTGCGACTCCTCGCATGTTCCGTGACACAAGCAAACCTAATTTTGACAATCGCAAAGGACTGATACACTGCCGTCAAGTTGGCAGCCTTTTCGGTTGCGCCGCTCTTCAGCAAATCAATTTGATCCAGCATGGGGCTGTCTGGGATGCTAAATTTACGCGAGAAAAAGTTCCGGGAGAGAGCAATGTCGTCCCAAAAGGGCCAAAAACCATTCGGCTCTCGCTTGTCGACGATATATGGATGTTGTATACAGAAAAACATTCAGTCAGCACGAATGCTTGCCTGCAGGAATTTACGAAGGTGCTCTGTCTAATAGTTTTTGAGCCTAATGTGTACGTAATCTTGGCTCACGGCCAAGGCGCAGCGTTTGCGCAGATGCTCGGAGAACATAGTTGATCTTATCTGCCGATAGGACGTCATGCCTCTTTAATACCGTGAGCGGATGATTCAAAGTAAGGTTGCATACCAACATTGAAGCATTTAGCGATGAGAAACTCTTGTCGAGCAAGCATTCGGTAGGTCGACGATGGCTTGTCAGATACCAGAAAGTCCACTGCCCATCGCGTTAAAACAGGACATGTTCGAAAATCAAGAAAGAGACCGCTGGATACCGCTCACCAACGTTACCGATAAAATCCGGGAGAGCCAGTTGAAGTGCTGGCGTCGTAATAGTAACGAGAGCAGCCGTGGTCACGATAGATGCAGTGGACAAAACTTTCAGTACGGGCAACCATCCTCCTATGTCCGCTGCATCATCAGCATCCGGTCGCTGGTGTACGGCGAGCATTTTGTATGTGTCCGTGCGGCATTCCGCCATATTGTTGAGAAAGTTAATCAGTGCTGCGAGCGGAAACGCGATGCCAAACATCACTAGAAAACCATGTTGAATTACAACTTCTCCATAGTCTTCAACCGTCGACCGATACGGAGGCATTCTTAACTCTTCTACGAGATCTTGCGTGTCTGCATCGTCAATCGTAGCGCCTGCCGCGAACAGTTGTATGCGCTGGGTCGTGTCCATTTCTTCAACAAGCTCGCGATGCTCTCTCCTTTTCAGCCACTGAGTGACGCGCAGTTTGATAAATGGCATCCCTACTTCTATGAACTGCTGCACCGTCGCCTTTGTGATGAGCAATGAAGTGAGCAGCATCCCAAGCTCAACCATGCAGTCCGGAGCTCCAGATGCATCCAAAAGGCAAGGGTCTGATGGCGTGAATGGCTTGACAAACGCGATATAAAACAATGTAATGTAGTCTGTCGCAGTGGTCAGCAAGGTCTGTTCAACTTTCAAAATCGGATTGGATGTGCTTGCAAAGACGCATCAAACTTACTGGACACAAACTGAAAGGCAAATCGCTTGGTAATGATGCTGTTCTCATACGCCTGAGTCGTACGATGATTCTCCCACTTTGACAGCTTGAGCGTAGCGCGCTTCCAAAGAGGGTCTGCAACTGAAATGATCACCGCCTGTGCCATACCTGGGGCAAACTTGGCAAACGCATGCGAGCCGAAAAGGCCGGCAATGGATTTTTTGAAGAAGAGGTTCAGAAACGAGCACGCGCCCACACATGATGCGAAAACAGGGTGACCAACGAGCTGATGTAAACGCGTCGCTGGACGTCGCGCTTACTGGCATACGGAAAGACCGGCAACGACGAGAAGGTCAAGCCCGTAATCGGGGCGTCCAGCACAAAGTCTGGGTCATTCCCGCCGCCAATCCGAATGACGTCCTCGCCACTCGGCTCGAACGCGGCATGCGCGCCCGTCACTCGCAGCAGCTGCCCGCGGATCCTCGATCGCAGCCCCGGCTCTCTGGCGCGTTCGAAATCGTCCGCAGCCGCCCTTTCCGGATCAAGATCCTCCAGGTTGACAAACCCGCCGCGGCAATAAAAACCTTGCCTATCATCGCCTTCGAAATCGGCGCGAATGTCGTTTTCGTTGTCCTCGTAGAACTTGTCCAACCCCCACTTGACGTTGAGCACGGCGTTCCTGCGCTTCCAATAGTCGAGCCAATAGGTCCCCCAGAAGCACAAGCCGAGTTCAATCACACGTTTTAGTTTTGGGCCATTTGTGGATCTTGGGGTGACAGGTGCGGCTTTTGATGCCTCTGGGGAGGTGAAGTTCCAGCCCTGGGGGTGTTTTGGGGGCGACTACCCCAACTGAGGTGGCATTGAAGGGTGACGTTCCTCATTCATCCAATTCCGAGGGTGACGTCGCCCTAAGAAAACGACATGTTGAATCATGCCGATCTTTATCTGTGTCTATAGGGCGACATTGGATCGTTTTCTGAGATTGATGTGATTTCAGTTGGAAATATAAGGTGACTTCATATGCGAAACACCGGCACCTTCTACCCACTCTATCTACATACAATTACATACAGTATTTTACATAACACGGAAGCATGTTTACCTAGTGTTTTCATCCCCATAAAGCTGTCTCAGTGCAAAATCAGTAACAATATGCAATCCCATGTGCCTGCCTTCATCGCCTTGCTCTGAACCATGCCAGAGGCAGGGTGCAGAGTCAGGCGATGAAGAAGGCGGGTGAGGGCATTGCGGGAGATGTGCGGGGGGGGCTGGGGAACTTAGACGCCGAAAAATAGCGGGTTCAGAAGGCAGAACGTACGCCGCTTGACCGCGCGTCACCGTATGCTACTGTGGTGGGCACTGGGCGTCCTCTATAGCCACACTATATTGTTTCAGTTTTGAGAGCGCTTTATCCAGCGCGAAACCGTGCGTTGGCGTGCTTTTATAGGGGTGACATTAAAACAATCATCGGTTTTTAGGGCGACTTTTCTAACATTTAGGTCTCTGCCGAAATGGCCATGATGGTATAGGTTTTTATGGGGTGACATCCCCGAATATGAGTTTGTCGGAGGTGACTTTACGATCGTTTTTCTGTCACCCTAGAAAACGTGCATTGTCACCCCATGCAGAGGACACCATGGACCAAAATCACCCTACTAGCAGAGCACTTTCTAGTAGTGTCGCCCTATAAAAACCCCCACCACATTGAAATCGCCCCACGTAGATTTCACTTTGGCCGGGTGTCGCCCCCAAATCTACACTTTGACCCTTTAGTTTTAGTTTTGGCCGTGTACTGCCCGAAGAACGTCTCAACGTTCGAATCTTCATGAGATTTGGCTGCGCGACACTGCCAAAAATTAAAATTGTGTAAATCTACAAATTATGTATTAATCTAAACATTATTTAAATTCAACAAATTATTTATTTATTATCAGTATTCATGCATAATTGAACTCGCGACCAAAAGAAAAGGGTAGCAGGGGAGTGGTACCGAAGCACACCACCCCTGCTGAAACCCCTTCTCCATCGCCCCGCCTTTGCGTGCGCACGACTACCGACCTTTCTGGCGGTGCCAGAAGTAAATTTCCAACCAATTTATATCCGACGATTTCGTGCTACAGTATCGGCCCCCCTGTGCATCGGCCCCGCCTTGATTAGTGAAAATAAAGACAGAGTATAATGTTAGAGAAATAAATGAACTTTTCTGTATCGGCCCACCGCCCACCCTTGCAATTCAATAAAATTCCTCCCCTGCGCAATTTTACACGTGGCTGCAGTCGAGGCATTGCCCGCCGCAGCATTTAATATCCGACGCTCCTCTGCCAACAGGGGGCGCTGCAACTCCTGCAGCCCAGCCTCCCCCCTCTTCGTAACCTCCTGTTCCGCTTTCCACCACTTCCAGACGTCAGCTCGCGCTGCAGAAGCGTCTCCACCCGCACAGCGACAGCTGCGCCTACGACTCCGTCGTCCGCGCAGACGTGCCACACGCTCGCGGTGCGCCTGCCCCACACGCGCGCCGCTGCCGTCGCGCCGGCAAAGTTGATCGCGGAGAAGAGGCTGGCTCGTGCACAAAGTGCAGGGGGAGCTGATAGGACAGCCGATCTGCACCGCCAGATTGCGCGCTCATCCCTCACGTGGTCATCGAGACGCACGCCGAGTTGGTGGCGCGCACCGCCGTCGACCTCTTGTCTCCGCCGACCCTTCCGCGCTCCATGAGCCGTTCGTACAGCTGCCTCTCGTCCAGCTCGCCCTCCATCCCGTCCCTGCTCTTCGCCGACTCGTTCTCCCTCCGCAAGTACCTCTCGATCCAGCGCACGCTCGTACAGCTCCAGGCCGCGGACCTCGTCTATTTCCACTCCTTCCGTGCCGTGGTGTAGCAGCAGACCAAGATTGTCCAATGCATGCACATCGTCCCTCCTGTCAATCGCAAGCTCGTACAGCTCTGAGGCGCGAACCCCGTTCTTCACGACCCCCCCGCGCCGTCCTGCAGTAGGAGGCCGAGATGCACCATCTCCCATTCGTACAGCGTTAACCGCGTTCGTCTCGACTCCCTCAGTGCCCTTGTGAAGGAAGAGACCGAGATTGACCATCGAAGTGACATCATTACCCTTCTCGATCGCATGCTCGAACTTGTCTATGCCGTGTTTCTCTCGAATCCCTCCACATCATATGCCAGCAGCGTGCCGAAATTGAATATAGAATGGACATGATCTTGTTCCTCAATTGCCCTCCTCTATAGTTTGACAGTCCGCGCTCCATCCTTCCCAACTCCGTCGTTCCCATCCCTCATTACGTTGCCAAGCTTGTATATCGCGTCGACACACAGGTCTACTTCGATCGCACGTTCGTACAACTACACGGCGCAAGCCGCGTTCCTATCGACCCCCTCTGCGCTCTTCTACAACAGCAAGCCGAGAGCGACCATCGCGCTGACGTCATTCTTGTCGATCGCGTTTTCGTACAACTATGCAGCACGGACTGCATTCATGTCGACCCCGTCTGCCCCCTTCTCCAGTGGTGTGCCGAGGCTCACCATCGCGGCGATATGACCGTGATCCCCAATCGCACGTAGGTCCTCAGTTCGATCCCTCTCTCCATCTACTTTTTGATTCGTACTTATCTCTCTGCTTAACCGCAGTGTTGGAACACCTCCCGTCGACTTCCCCAATGAAATTGAACTCAAGAACCTCCTGAAGTTGGCTTGACCATTTTCTTCCGACTGCTGTGAAGTTTGATAAGAAGATCTTCTCTGTAGCTCGTGCCACGTTTGATCATCTTAACGTAGTATTTCATTCGTTCACGGAACTGAACGTTTTCATCGTGCTTCTTCTTTGGTCAACGTAGTCAAGTTCTATGGCTGTACGACGATGAGCTGCCAGAAAAGGCTCGAATCGATCATTCTTGGGAGTACCTTGACACTTGTGTGTGCTGAGTAGCTGTGGCAATGGAAGGCGTGTCGGCATTAGGGAACATCGGAGCGTCGAGCATGGTGATATATGAGCAGTGGCGGGCTCGGGTGTGCGAAAGGAAAGAGGTGTCCGACCCCGACTACCTGCCAACCGAAAACGTCAACCTGTTTTTCGATATATGTTACAAACAATTACGACATGCTGGTTTTTTTGAAATCATCCGCCTGCACTGTTGCACAATCGTGCCTGTAGCCGCTAGCATTCGCACGCACAGAGAGCGACCTTCAACAATGCTTTGAGGTTCGGTGGCGATTTTTTTACGATTCGCGATGTGGGCAAGCTGGGCACCATGCTCATCTGCTTCGCCCAGGTCATGCTGTGCGGCTTCGACGTCGTCTAAGGTATGAGAAGACACCGTCACTGCCCCCGTCTGCTGGTCGTGCTTAGAGTGGGGCGCGGCGCAATTTACGTTGAACATGCTAGGGCAAGAAATGCTTGGTTGTTCGGGGGAGGCACAGACGGACGGATCACCGGGAATTCATTGTTGTGTACTATTCGAACTTTTTTTGGTATAGCACTAGTATTTACGTTCTATTACAAGCCTCCAGGTTTGAGTACTACCCCTCGCCGTCGAAACTTATCGGATCAAACTGGGAAGACGTGAGCTCGCTAACGCCCACCAAGCCATCGCACACATCTCCGATCCAATCGCAGACATATTTCTTGAATGCTGAAGGTCTGAGAACGACGCGGTCGCAGTCCTTGCCCTCCTTTATCGAATACGGGCAGACGTACGAAAAGGTTATCTCCCTCGTATCGTTTGCATGCTCAAAAGTCTCCCCGCTGGCATCAGAGATCAGAGTCTTCTCCAGCTCTTCTGGAGCAACCCTCTCAACTATTTCGCGCAACGTTTCGTGAATACCCAGCGTTGCTTTCGGTAACAAATGTGAAAGCACGTCAGTGAACATTGCGTGCGAAACTCCACCTTTGCTCAGAACCTTCAGCAACGCAGAGTGTATATCGCTCTCCTCTGCACCATCGTCGGATAATTTTGTCGCAATGCCCAGCGCTGTCCTCGCCAGTGCCACCTGTATTACGCAGCGCGTCGCGATCCAGGCATCGAGGCGGGCGAGCGTCAAAATTGATGCTACGCCAGCCCTGAGGCGCTCTTTTCCCAATCGTAGTCCAGCCCACTCCTTGTAAATATCCCGAGCGGTGTCAAAAACGAACAAGATGTCAACGCCACTCTCTCCAAATATTATCGCTCTCTGAATGCCCAGGCGGCACCACTGTACGCCAGTGGTCTAGGCTACGAGAGGTAATACAGTCAATACATGCTCGCATAATTTTGTCAATCCCGCCGCTGTCGTCATCTGCAAACGCAATTCCCATCATTTTCACGTCTTCGCCAGCAGCATTGTTCAGAGCATGAATGATGTAGTCGACTGAGGCACTCTTCAGCTTGTTTTGAACCGGAATACAAGTGACGTCCCACACCTTGGCCAGCCTGGTCCAAACCGTTCGCTTGAGGCTGGACATATATGACGACGCCTTGTCAGCCACCTCCGCAGAGAGATTAGATGCCCCTTGAATGCCATTGAAGATGCATGCACCCGAAATCTCCTCCTTGGATGCTGCTCTCAGAGCACTGGTAAGCGATCCGCTTTCGAGAGCCATCTTGTATGCAGTGCGAGCCAGAATGGTAGGAGACAATTGCGGCGGTAGAAGTGCGCCGTTTGTAATGCCTAGCTTCGCCACATCGAGTGATGGTACCGCCGCTCGAGTGCCGCCTCCCAGCGGTCCGATCCCATCGCCTTCAGCGATCTTCAGAGGCGAGGGAACCCACCGATAGTCTGCAATTCCTGGCGACTGCTCCATCGGAGTAAGATTGCGCATGCAACGACGCGCGATGTCATCAGAGGCATATTTCATCACCACGACAAGGTCGCGTTGAAGCGGGGTGATCGTGTCAAGGAATGCCTCGTCCTTTTGACGCTTCTTCTTGGTCGCAATGACTGCGCGCTCGGCAGCGGCGGCAGCCTGGCGTCCTCCACGAGACGAACCTGCAACCAGGACCTCCAACGCAGCCTTGGCATGCGAGAGCTCCATCACCTGCGCATTCAGCCGAGCAACCTCGATCATTAACGAATTGATCTTCTCACCTTGTAGCTTTTTCACTTCTTGCATTGTCTGCATATAAATGTGTTGCTCATCAGCCCTCGCTCTCTCACGGTTGAGCAGTGATGCGATCTGCCGCTGCAGTACAGCTGCGTCGACACCCGCGGCCATGTCGCCAGTCGACTATCCGGCGACAACAGCGGGGGCCGAAGAACTTCGGTCCGGGGGAAGGACATCTGTAGCGCGACTGAGGTTGGGGACCGTAGAATCCAAGTGTAGTGCCACGTTGGTGGCCAGAGGCCCGATTTCACTGTCTAGCCGCGTCGGGATCGCCGCGCTCAAGTCGAGAGCGCTACCATCTCCCTCCCTGCTCTCAGGCTCATGGCTTGAGATTCCGTGGCTTCCGCGGTTGGCTCTTTTCCTTTTACGAGCCACTGAGGGAAGTCCGCAATCAGCCACGGTTCTTGTCTCGGAAGCGAGGCCACGCCGCAATCGCTTGCTTCTCCGGACCGGTGACTCCGGTTCCTCATCCATCCTCCCCCACCGGCGGCCCACAGTCATCAGGCAGGCCGAAACAGTGGTGCGCCGACGGACCTGAGGTTCAGACCTCAGGAGGATTGGCGAATCTGCGTACGTACTCGTCCTCGCCAGACTACTCCACCGCAGAAAATTGCACCTGCCTGAGGCACTAACTCAAGCTTTAGGCCGGCAGTAAATTTTTGCTGGAGTAAATTGCTCATGACCGTTACAGAATTATGTAGCGATAGTTTAATTGCGAAACATTATAGTCAAATTTACGCTAGTAAAGTTGAAAGTTTTATTTGAAGCCCTTCTGTAGTCGACGACCATTGCCGCACGCGACGAGCACGTCGGCACGTCAGAGGAAGGCGAGACAAGCCTACAAAGAGCTGCGCGACGGCGCTGAGTGAATGTGATCCAAGTTCGCCCGGTTCACATGCGGGATAGAGACAACAGCTTTTTCAGCCTTCCAATTTTTCCTGCGAGTCTATCGGGTGGCGTCCAGGCGCGACGTGTGGGTCGAGAAAGACGGGAGAAATACATGCGGCGCTGATCTAGAGGAATTGAGGGCGTGTGTATACTGGTAGCATTTCGCATCTGGCACGAGTGATAGTACTGTACCAAGCAACAGTAGGATGAGTGTGGAGCGGGGGGGTTTCCGGGTTTGTCGCTGCGATTGGGGAGACCAGACATGGTGCGTTTCAGGAAGGGGAGAGAGAGGAGGGATGCGTGGGGGCCATGGTTTGCTGGCGCTGAGTAAGACCAAAGAAGGAGGGAGGCGATGCGGGCATCGGGAATGGTTTGTTGAGGCTTCTGTGGATGTGCCGCGGAGCGATGTTGACCGAGCTTCTACAAGTGGTACATTTGTTATTGCGTAGAACGTCACAGCGAGAAGGGCAATGCGATAGGGAATGGGATTGTGTGTGCAGCTTGAGGACAGTTGGGCAAATGTTTATGGCAGCTCACGTGTACGCAGGTGCATGTGTGTATGATTTTTGCAACTGCCAGGCATTTTGCTTCCTGAAGAATCTTGCATCCTGATTACATCAGCTCTCTTGAGCGGACAGGCATGAAAACACTTTATCACGATCGACATTGTGGGACGCTCTTTGTCTCGATTGACTCAGTCAGTGTCTTTTCAAGATTTTGACGAGCGGTCCGTATTCTCAGAGTTGTCCCAGCGGTTCCGATTGCAGTGCTAAGGCTGCGATTAAGTAGAAGGAGCATTACGGGTCGTGAGGTCTGTGATCATGCTGGTCTGCAGTGGAGTACCTCATCTTACGCATTGGCTGCTTAAATCGGTTGATGTAGAATCGATGCGTCTCCCATCCACTGCGGATGAGGGATGGTTGCGACCTCGTGCCTCTCAACTCATCATCGCAACGAACGACGTGAAGCAAGCCGCGGATTGAGCCGACATATTGCACATCAATGTAAGCGAGATCTGTCATTTCCGTAGACGTTTCAGCTTCGCACGCAGGTGCTCCTGGAGAAACAGTTTCATCTTCTCCCCTCACAGCCCAACGAAGTTTCAAGCAGTTCAAGGCGCGGTCAACGGCATCGATTTCGTCCCCGTGAACACGATCGTAGTACCGAATGAAACAAATCTCGATGTCGTCTCTCTTCACAGATGCGTCAGCCAGGAGGTGACCCCGTCGCAGGATTTTGATAGCGATAAAAGCCAGTACTTTCGCAATGTAGACCTTTCGAGGCACAATTCCGCCTGTGCCTCCCGGCGGATCATCGCCACTCTCCTCAATCATGACATTATCCTGTCTCGCTACTTTGCTGCTGTAGTAGCTGTGTGACGAGACGGCACGCTGCATCTCTCTGTCTCCATTGTCCATAGTTAAAATCTTAAAGTCGCCAGCGCCGCTTTCAGGCGCCTCACAGCCCTTTAACGTTGGGCACGGGAGGCCAGCAACAGATGCAGTAGCGGGTCTTCGCACAACAGAGTCAGCCAGTGGCCTGTGCTGCTCTTGGATTGAATCAATATACCACTGCAAACGTCCGGGACCTCCGACATCTTCGCAAAGTTCTTGCACCGCAATGTTGGGTCCTAGCTCGCCTGAGTGCTGGAGAAGGCTGCCGCATGAACCTGCATGTGCATGAATCTGTGCCCACATCATTATGTCGCCCCCACCAGACAAGCCTGCAGCGTCCTCACGCACCATCTCCTGTTTGATCTTTGTGAGTGATTCCGTCCTTCTGTTACCCATTAGCTTGGCGATGACTTCCTCCATGAGCGGAAGCATCCGGGTGCTCATCGACCTCGCACTGGCCTCTTGAGCTCCTTGAGCAAGCACCAAGCGCCGCATTGCCTCTTCCTGCCTGGTGCCTTTGCGTTTCGAAGTCTTGTCATATGCTGTCTTAAACAGTTTGTGGCTTGCCTCGTACGAGTCCGCGCTGTAGATTGATAAGCTCCCACACATCTTGATGTCTGAGACAAGGTGTCCAAGAGCATGGAATTTCGGAAATGCCATACCACTTGCCTGGTACTTGCCAAACACCTCGATTGCTTTGTCCTGGAAATTTGAGATCTGGTCGGCGAGCGCGTCGAGCTCAACTGCGGTGAAGCCAGGCTCCGAGAAGCGGGAGGTAGCTGTAGCCACCAGTTCTTGATAAAGGACGCAAACAGTCGTCAAAGGAGACTTATTAATAGTGCCACAAAGCCTGTCCAACAGAGCAAAGACGAATGGCATGACTTGATCAATGCCGGCGAGGTCTTTGGCCTCAAGCATGGCAACTATCCCTGTTGATGTGAAGAACCCAGAGAGCTCATCGTTTGTCCCGGACTTCGTGAAATCAAACTTAAGCCCCACGCAGGGCGATTCTGCCTGAATACGCTTTAGAAACGCGTTACATCTTTTCAATACGTCGACTCTAGCCGACTTGAGCTTTCTTGGGCCTCCTTTGGAATTCAGCAGCTCTGTCGTGCTTAGCAATGGATCTTTCAACATTTCGCTCGCACAGACCTTAAGAGTCCGCGATAAACCCAGGAAAAAATTATGCAATGTTTCAAAACGCAGCAGTCTCGGCAGTGCCAGTTCTTCGGTTAGATCCATGAACGGCCACTTCAAAAGGGCAGGGCGAACCGTCGTCACGCCCACCAGTCTCATGTTTTCTTGTAGAGACTTCTTTCTCGCCGTATCACAAGCCTGCTCAGCGACTTCGAACTTATTCAATCGCTGCACAGTGTCCAAGATATTACGTGGAATGCAAGGCTCTTCCGAGGCAAGATCGAGCTTCGCAGTGTACCCCCGAGGGCAGTGCCCGTGCACCGTGCCCCCCACGTCCGATGCTTCGGGCATATCCGCAACATATGAGGCTAGAACAGGGTGGCATTTTCGGACATTTCCCTCTCCATCTGCTACGACTATTCCAGTGCGCGATACATCCCAAAGCGGAAGCAAGGCCTCCTTGATTGATGCCTGAAATACACGGCTCTTCGATAATCGCCGCTCTTGGACTGAAACTCTTTCTGGCATTACAAAAGTCTGTTCCTCTTCCTCGCGGCACCAATATTCCTCGTCATCGCCGGTAGAGTTGGCAACATTAATTGCAGCCCGCACGAATTCAACTGGAAAGTACGCAACGATAGTGTCGCCGTTGGAGATGAGCTCCTGTCGGATCGTCTGAGTCATGTTCAGAGAGCAGATATGGAAAGGCAGGAAGGAGTGAGATCCGACTTTCAAAGTCTGGCACGATTTGTCTGAGTAAGCCTAAATCGCTCCGACGAAGCTGTAATTATCAATCCAGAATCCACCGCCATCGCCACTGATGATAAAGTCCTTTATCAGAGGAACCACGTTTTCTATAAGAGCTCAGCCCATCGTGTGATTGTAAACTCTTACATTGGCGCGGTTCGTTTCTATGAATGGATCGAAGAAGAGCTGGTGTGACTGAGCTTTTGCAAATTGGCGCTTGAGAGAATCGACTGGCGAGCGGAACCAGCCAACTCCATACACGTTGCAGTTCTTGGGGTCGTAGATGGTCTGCTGCTTGAAGTTCAGATCCGCGAGCCAGCATTTAGCGTCCTCTCCTGCTTTCTGGCGCATTTCCTGAATAGATTCGAAGCCGATCCTGAGTAAGCTTGCATCAAATGACTGATGTTGGAGGAGATTGATGATTGTGTTCGCCTGTCGATCACCACCTTTGTCGCCGATCTCCAGCACCACATTTCGCAGTGCGTGAACCACCTCTTCCTTCGTCGCATCCTCAGCTCGCGACTCCTCTACACCTGACGTATCAGCTGCGGTTGCCTCTTCCGGTTGTTCATCCTGCCCTGTTTCATCCAGTGCGAAATGGGGCGAAAAAGTTTTGCTAAGGCCGGCGGCTGGCAGGATAACATTCGAATCTTGCGCTGCCAGTCGGATCCTATCCTCATACCGCTCTTGCAAGGCACGACCGGTGAGTTGGAAGCTCCCACGCAAACGACGAGACTTCACGGGTGGTGGTGAGTCAGAAGCGTCAGCCTCTTGTGCCTCAGCTTCATCTACTGCTGCCTGCTTGCATTTTTTCTTGTGGGCTCCCAGGTAGGCCTGCCTTGGGAAACTTTCTCTGCAGTACGGGCAACAAACAGAAACGTGGTGCATGGCGCAGGCACAAGCTTCGTGAAGAAGCTGGCCCTGCTGTTGATGCTCTTCCACATG